CATCTTTCCATCCAGCTTACATCCATTCATCCATCCATCTATCATCTGGCTGTCCTTTTGTCCATCCAACTTCCATTCATCCATCCATCTGTCCATCCATCCATCCATTCATTTGTTCATCTATCTCTCCAGTCATCTGTCTATCCATCTTGGAGAAAGGGAAACTCAGACCTTCTTTTCTTCAGAGTCACTCTTTAGCTCCTCCTGCGAGAGTCCAAGGTGTTCCCAGACCAGAGAGGATATATAACCCCTGCAGAAGGTTCTGGGTCTGCCTCGGGCTCGTTTTACAGTAGAACGCACCCAGGAGGCATTCTAATCATTTCAGTGATTTTCTTTTTGTCAAATTCAAAGAACCAAAAAAATAAATAAATAAATCACGGTCCTAAAGGAATGACGTTATGTCAAACAAAGAAAAATATATTTCTGAAACTTATTTTATTGTACAAACATGAGATACATTATCAAAATTTACTGATCAATAGGTTATTTTTCTAATAAATAGATTAGTGCAGGTTTCAGAGTGGTGCTTCATTTTAAACTTTTCTTTTTTTTTTTTGTCAGCATACGATGCTTCGATTCTCCGAGATGGTGCTGAAGGAGAAAGGGGGAGGAAGAGGAGGAGAGGTTGAACGTGAGCTGGCAGACAGCCAGCTGAGAGACAGAAGGGGGGATGAATACAAAGAGGAGGAGGAGGAGAGGAGGAATGAAGAGGAGGGTGGAGAGGAACGCTGCCCGGAGAGAGAGGGGAGGCGAGGAGGAGGAAGTCCCTCTGCTGCCACCGCTGAGACCCTGAGAGGTAAGAGGATTTCCGGAGATTTCTGCAGGATCACGTGCACGCACACACACGTACACACGCGCAGAAAGGCCATAAAAACACGCATTGTTTTAGTCGGTTGAATTCACTAGCTCGTGTCTTTTTTTTTTTCTTTTCACTTTTGCGTGTGTCTCTGTGTGTGTTTATGAATGTGTTTAACACAAGCACACCCACATGCGCACACACACATGAACTCTGAGTGCACTCTGTCACTTTAAGCTCATCGTAACGCTGCCCTCATTTTCTCCAGGAAGCCGGGCGTTCACCGTCAGACTTTTACACTTCCTGCTTCACATAAAACAAAAATCTTTTTTTTTTAAAGGGATTCAAAAATGAAATTATTTGATCTGAAGACGTCTAGAAAAGTTGATTCAGTCTCCAACTGACGCAAAATCAGTTTCACATGTGTATTTATATATGGTTTATAAACATTATACTTTTATTACAAGTCTGTGTTTATATACAGTAAATATTTGGTACCACCTCTATAAAAGCAGGAGTTTTTTGCTGATCTGGAGCATATAGTTGCACACCAGGGCAGAATAACATCAGCATTGACCTTAGAGATGCAGCTATTTCTACCCCTCAATAGGCGAAGGGTTAAAGGTCATTTCCAAACTATTTGGAGTCCATCATTCTACAAAGAAAAATATATACAAGTGAGAATATTTAAGGTAGCTGCCAATCTGCCCAGGTATTCAAGTCCCAGTCAATTTACCCCAAAGGTCAGACTGTGCAATGATCAGAAAAATTTACTTCATCTCAGACGATACAGGTTTCAGTTCGCAGGTTAAACGGCAAAGGGTCGTGGCTTTTTTGAAAAGGTTGTGGGAAAAAGCCTCTTTTCTCCTAAAACAACATGGCAGCACGGCTTAGGTTTGGAAAGTTTCATCAGAATGAACCGCAAGATTTCTGAAACAGGCAGCGAACCCAACAACTTAACATAAAAGAGAAGGTGGAGCTTCTCAACATGTTGAAGGAAAGGAGAACCTACACAGCTGTTGGCCGCCATTACGGGATCAACGAATCTACGGTTCGCTATATCAAGAAGGAGGAGAAGAATATCAGGTCTACAACAGCAGTGACTTTCAACAAGACTGCAAAGAGGGTGGTTACTTCCTGCAATAAGACGACTGTGAAGACTGAACATTGCAAGAGTGTGGGAAAGGTTTATAAAGCCTTAAATACATATAAATACTAAAATAAATATAATGTCCCTACTTCGCAGATTTTCACCTATTGCGGAGGTGTCTGGAACGTAATCCCCGTGACAAGTGAGGGATTACTATACTGTACTGCATTCCATATCTATCCATCCATCCATTATCTTTCGCTTATTCTGAAGTCGGGTCGTGGGGGCGGCAGCTTGAGCAGGGAGGCCCAGACATCTCTTTCCACAGCCACCTCTTCCAGCTCTTCTGGACTTCAAGGCGTTCTCAGGCCAACCGAGAGACATGGTCTCTCCAGCATGTCCTGGGTCTTCCCCGGGGTTTCCTCCCAGTGGAACATGCCCGAAACACCTCCCTAGGGAGAAGCCCAGGGAGCATCCTTACCAGATGCCCAAACCACCTCAATTGGTTCCTCTCGACGTGTAGGAGCAGCGGTTCTACTCTTGAGTCTCTCCCGGATAACTGAACTTCTCACCCTATCTCTAAAGGAGAGTCCAGCTACCCCGAGGAGGAAACTTATTTCAACCGCCTGTATCCGTGATCTCATTCTTTTGGTCATTACCCAGAGCTCATGACCATAGGCGAGGGTAGGAACATAGACCGACCGACATTCCATATCCATTTTAGAGATACACCTGAAAGTCAAGACTTCTAAAAACCTTCAGGCCAGAACAATTAACATCTTGAACCTCTTTGCCTTCTGGCCTTCAAAAGCTTTAAAAGCAGAAGAATTATTTTACTTAACAGATAAAACTAAAAAAAAAGTGATTATTTTATTGCTAAATATGGTCAAGTCATCCAATCAGCTCTGTTCTTCACAGCTCTGTAAACAAAAACACAGCTTAAGGTTCAACTTGGTTCATACATAAATTACAGAGTCATCTGCAAACACACAACTAATTTAGATAGATTAATGGAAAAATTAGCAGGTTGATGAGAATTATTACTTGAAGACAGATCACAATGCACAGCAGCAAACACAATATATTAGCTCATTCATACTGTCAGTACAGTGGTGGAAGGGTAATGGTCTGGGCTCCTTGCAGTCATTGAGTTGACCATGAACACTGTAGACCTCTGTAGAACAAAGCACTGTGGATCATGATTCAACTGAACAATTATCCCTAACAAATTGGCTAATGTTCAATAGAATGGCAAAAAAAAGACAAACAAACAAAAAAAACAACCTCAGAATCAAGGTGCTGCAAAGGTTCAGTCGATGTCCAGAGCCTCAATCTAACTGAAATGCTATGGTGGGACCAGAGTTGATAGAGCTGAGTAGAAATCTTAATGAACTGGAGCAATAATTAAAAAGAAGAATCGTCTAAAATCCCACCACATCCATGTGAGAAACTGATTCATTCAACCTTTATTTATACAGGTTAATCCCATTGAGCCTCGGGGACTCATTTACAAGAGATATCTGATTTTAACAGAGTGATGACAACAGTAGACACTGTTGACACTGTTCAGTAGACACTGTTCAGTAGAAGATATTCCAGGAAACAGGAGTGGAGTAGGAGAAGGCCCTTTTGCCTAGTTCTGTCCTCACTGAGGGAACACTGCAGGTAATGATGTCCTGAGAGCACATGCTATAGCTGCACTCACACAGTGACATGTAGCAGGAGATGTATGAAGGCAGCAGACCAAGAAGTGATTTAAAGGGGAAAATGTACCAGTGAGAGAGTCTGCGTGAAGTTATTGATGTCCAGTGAATACAGGGTGCAGTGGTGGGTACGATAATCACAGCCAGTTATGAATCTTAGTGCACCGTGATAGACAGCATCCAACATCTGCAGGGTGCTTGTAGGAGCGTTCATGTACATAACGTCACCGTAATCAATGGAGGGAAAGAAAGTCGTAGTTACAAGGTGTTTCCTAGCATTCAGAGTTAGACGGGATCTATTTCTGAAAAAGAAACCAAATTTAACTTTCAGTTTCCTTACCAAGTTTTCCACGTATCTAACATCTAGGCAGATAAAGTCTAGACATCTAGACAGATAACGTCCTTCAGCAAACCACTGCTGACAGTTATTGCTGCTAAAGTAGGTTCTTTAAGCTGATGGGTTAGAGGGATTTTACTTTGGATTTAAGATTAAATTTTATGTCTTAACAGAAAATAATAATATGTATGTGATAAATTTCATTTTACAGCAGTTTTAGCTTTAAACAGTTTTATATGACCTCTCAAAATTCAGTTGCTTGTGAGCACATCAGTAATTTTTGCTGCCAAAATGATTTTTATTTTTTGACAGCATCGTTTCCATGGTGATAGCCTTTGATGGCCCGTTGCCAAGGCACGTATTGTGGCAAGAAACAGCAGGAAGTGTCCAAAATCAAATGATCAGCAAAAAGGGTGTGAGAGCATGGGGGTATATATGTAAAGAAAGCGAGAGATAAGATGATTGTGAAAGAGGATGAAGAATAAAAAGAGGGACTGATAGAAGAAAGAAAGGGGAGACAAGAATGAGAATGTAAAGATGAAGAAGTTATAGACACATTATAGAAAGGAAAGATGAGTTGGAGAAAAAAATTCCAGTCTTTGATCCAATTGGCCGTGTGCTGGCTTCTAACTGACATTATTGGGGCCAAAGTTTTATGGGGATGAGCTTATACTCTTAATGTTCAGGATTTCAAGATGTTAATCAATAATTTTAAAGTTCAGGAGTAAATCCAGATATTTACCTTTTGGCTCAGCTCCAATAACACCCCCATTACTACACAAAAGGCCCTGATCTGTCAGTCTATTCCACTTCATCCTACCATTATTGGTGGACAAGTCTCCAAGATAATTGAACTCTACTGCTTGAGGCAGAGACGTAGATGGGAGCATTCTACCTTTACCCGGTGAGAAACATGACCTCAAACTTAAAGGAGCTGACTCTTGTCCCATTTGTGCGTTGCCCAAGTGCATGCTAGAGGTCATGGTCTGGAGGCACCACCTCCAGACCACATTGTCTGCAAAAAATAGAAATGAGATTTTGAGGTTCCCAAACCAGACACCCTCTTCGCATCTGTGCCTTGAGATCTGGTCCATGAACTCTACAAAAAGGTTAAAAAAAACAAAAGAACACCCTGATAAAGTCCAACTTGCACCAAGAACAAGCTTGACTTTGTGCCAAAAATGTGGACACACCTCTTGCTTTGGTTCTACAGGACTGGGAGGTTTTAAAATGGAACGTCATGCTTCAGCAGTACAACAAGCATACACAGAACTCCTCAAAGTACACAACAATATTAGGCCTTCTCCGGATCCACAAAAGACATGAAGTGTGTCATGAGCTTCATAAACCTCTTGCCAACCTTGCGAGAGTACAGACCTGGTTCACTCGTCCACAACCAGGAAAAAAAAACACATTAGTCTTCCTATACCTGAGCTTGGACAATCTGTGGGCATCTCCCTTCCAACACTGAAGTAAACTTTCCTGTGTAGACTGAGAAGTGTGATCCATTCTTAGTTGGAACATTCTTTGGTCTCCCTTTTTAAGAGGAGTAATTACCTCTCCAGTCTGCCACTCTGTGTGCTATGCCAGTCCTACATGTGACATTAAGGAGATGCGTCACCCATGACAGAGCCACAGTGTCTAGAGCCACCAGCATCTCAAGAGTGCATATCCACCGCTGATGCCCTGCCGCCAGGGAGCTTTTTAACTACTTTGGTGACTTCTGCCACAGTAATGGACAGGCCTTCCCCCAAGTCCTCAAACTCTTCCTCCTCAAAAGTTGACATGGTGGCCAGATTGAGGAAATAACACAGGAGCACTTGCATGTTTAAAGATGTTTAAAGACCATCTACATCTGTCCCCCCCCCCAGTGTTCAGAAATGTTATTTTATCAATCCTGATTTTAAAATCTGTTTTTCTTTCAGAATTTGATCTAACATTTTACAAATTGTAAAACAAATATAAAATTACTGGATAATATACGTGGCTACCCAGTGCCATGTGGTGAACAAAACCACTGACTTTGAGCGTCTGTATAAAGGTCTTTTTTAAGTTAAGTCAGTGATGTACAACTTTTTGTTTTCTGTTTAAAAATGTTATTCTTGTCCTGACAGGGTTAAAGCCTCCCTCTCCTCAAAGACAACTTCTAGTTCATCACCACTCCAACAAGAAGGATGACTCAACAGAGGAGAAGGATGAAGGTGAAGAAGAAGAAGAAAAATGCCCTCCAGAGGAGACGAAAAATAAGAGCAAAGGTTTTGTGTTGCAGTCGGATCAACAACAAATTCTTCCGACATCCAAAATTTCATTTCCAGGAGACTCCTCCATTTCGCTCTCACATCCAAGCATGGCAATAAACAGGCGACACATCTTCAGCCTGGAGCCATTTCATCAGAGCAGCATCATCAGCAGTCGACAGAAAAGAGGCAGGGATGAGGATGAAGAGGACAAGGACGAGACTGAAAACCTCAACAAGAAAATCAAACTCACCAACAGTAAGACTTCAGAAAATCTGTACAAGATTCTTGTGTGTTTTGTTTTTAAATATCTTACAGTTTATAATTATAATTGCACTGTTTAAGACTCATTAAGTTGTATGCCGCCTTACTTTAACCATGCTGTAACATCAACCATAGACTTCGTAAACTTTTTAGCAATGTGTGTTGTACTGTTACCATGTATATAAAACACAGTATCAACTGCAAATATACGAATGTTACAATTAGTGCAAACAGACGAGAGATCAATAATAAATAAAATAAACAATACTGGTCCAAGAAAACATCTTTGCGGAACACCTGTTAACAGCCTTATAGCAAATTAGTTGCTAATAATATAAATTGCGGGGTCATCTGCATGCATTTATATCCTGCCCTTACTAGAATATTAACCTGACTTCTTGCTTGACAGAAAAAAAAATGCTAATACTGTATGATTATATGTGAATGTTCCTGTAAAGTGCCCTGAGGCAACTTTGTTGTGATTTGGCGCTATATAAATAAACTGAATTGAATTGAATTGAATTAGCACTATACTTATCACTGAAATTCAACCATAAACAAGAATTTAAGTCCTTACTGAAGACAGCCAAGCCAGGATAGCGTCAACTATTACTAACAAACATTCTGTATATTCTTTGGGGTTCAGTGAAAGAAAGATGCTACCTAGTAATATACAGTATATAGCTTTACTGCAACGTTTAACTATGGCAACTCTACTAAGACAAACAGCATTGTGAAGCAACTATTCTGCTAACTTTTTAAAGTGGCAGGAGAGTTTTCATGCATTAATTAGAGCAAACTGATGGAAGATCATTAAAAATAAACAATAATTGTCCAAAGATAAATCCTTGTGGAACACCTGTTGGCCAAACAATTGCAGATGAGTTATGAATATAATTCATTATCTTAAGTCATTATAAATCTTAGTATCATCTGCAAACATTTGTATACTACAATTAGTGTGAACAAACGTAAGATCATTCTTATAAAATACAGTAAATAATAATGGACCCGAGATATGTCCTTGCAGAAAACTTGCTACTAGAATTTCAACTGATAATTTCTGGTTTCTATACAAACTAGTATATCATTTCATT